CATTCCAGCGCTCTTTCCCTGCTTCCCCTCAATATTTTCACCCTCTGATTTTCCTTCCACAAGCGTTTTTACTCGATTTCTTTTCTTCATTGATCTAGTTAGTGATTCCTTCCTTCCCTACCTTGTCTTTTTTCTCCCACCGCCCCCCATCTGTACCTTGAGAATCCAAAACTGCCACCCTTGCTTTTTCGATACTCTCCTGTTTCCCTACACCTGCAAAAGTTTAACCCCTTCTGTTTTCGGTGCGCTGTATTGTGGATTTCTCGTGAGTCATAATCAATCCACATCTTTAGAAAGGTGGCACTTTAAAACTAGATCTTCTTTTTCCTAATTTTTAACCTGTTTCACAGTTGTTCCCCCTGCTGCCCTGTTTTTTTAGAGGAGCTCTTGGAAACTAGTGGATCCTTTTATTTTTTTGCCTCCTTCATTTATGAACACTGCTTTAGATCTTGCCAACTGTGTATGCTTAAATATGGAAGATTTCTTCGTGTAACAAGTCCTTTGGCTGCTCCCTGTAGCTGTGGGGGGTCAGAACAAGGCTTAGAATAAGCTAGTTTATACAGATTTATCAGAGGATGCCTTTTCCAACTGGTTTCATTGAAAGACAGCTTTCTGGAGAATTCTCTCATGCAAGCATTAAAGTTTTATGCCAAACGTTGTGGGAGATATTAGGAAGTTTCAGTTATAGCCTTCACTTTAATGTAGGTGGATATTTAAGAGTGTGTGGACAAGGGACTAGGTAGGAGAGGGATTCATCTACCAAAACTTTGGAGATAAGGAGTCTATGTCTGATTTCTGATCCAAGTTTACCGTGTGAATCTGATCAAATTCTTTCACGTTTTGTATCTTTTATAAATACCTCCCCACCCATACATCAAGCTAGACTTACTGAGTTCCCAAGGAAGATATAAAAAAACATGACTCTTATCTAACAGAAAGTCGCAGTCTGTGGAAACAAGATGTTTTAGTTAAATACATTCACAGTGTCAGGATAACACATTTCAAAAAGAAGCAGCAGTAAATTTCTTACTCTTTCACATCTTCGTTACAGAAATGAAATTGAGGACCAAGGAGAAAAGACCGAGTTGAAGATCATATAACCGATTACAAAGGCCTAGTCAGACCTAGACTACTGTTCGGAGCCATTGCTGAAACTTGGATCAGAACTAGTGGACCAATGTTACTAATGCTCATTTTGGTTTCTTAAACTAACTCACAGAAGCCTAAATACATATTTAATCCATGATATAATTAACATGAATGTAACCTAAATGAACTCAAGTGTGTTTAAGTTCATTTGCAATGAAAAATAATATAAAAGAATATTTTTGTGTTTACTTAGTATTTAAATTTTACAGCATTGGAGCAAGTCACATACCCAAGAAAGTTAAATGACTTCAGAATTGCTCGGATACTGAGGGCAAGGAAGTGGGGAGCAGAGGTTGAGGTTAAGCATTGCCAAAAGGAGTGGTGGTAATCTGAAATGAATAATTCTTTTTTTTTTAATTTTTGAAACAGGGTCTCACTATGTAGTTGAGACTGATCTAACTCACTGTTTGAGGGCAAGGAAGTGGGGAGCAGAGGTTGAGGTTAAGCATTGCCAAAAGGAGTGGTGGTAATCTGAAATGAATAATTCTTTTTTTTTTAATTTTTGAAACAGGGTCTCACTATGTAGTTGAGACTGATCTGGAACTCACTGTGTAGCCCAGGCTGGTCTCAAACTTGCAGTGATCCTCCTGCCTCAGCCTCCCAAGTGCCGGGATTACAGGCGTGCGCCACCATACCTGGCATTGGAATGAATAATTCTTACACTTTATTTTGCTCTTTCTCCTCCGCCCCATTGTTTCCTTCAATTTCTTCTCCTTAAAGACTGTGATAAAGTCAAAGTGGTTTCCCAAAATAAGACAGGAGCAGTAGAAGGGGAAGTTCTTGTTAAGCCCCAGTTTTTCCAAGTAAAACATTTTTTCTAGTTGCTCCCTACTTTTTAAAAACCACCTTTTTTTAACCCTACTTTTCACAAGGCTTGGAATTGGAGCAGGGGAGCTCAAGCTTTGTGTCCTTTTCACCAGAAAGCTGAATTGGCAATACTTACCAGCAGATGATGTTTCTGCCCTAGAGCACTTTGGCTTTTAATGTTTTTCTCCTGGCATCTCTGCCTTCTTATCCCTTCTCAAGATGGTGTTTGAGAGAACCATATTCTTTAAGCCATTTCTTTTCAGGGAGAAGCAAACAGCTAAATCATATATGCGGGTAAGTTTAATTTAGGGACTTACTTTATTTTGGGGTTGTATGTGTCACTTTTTTTTTTCCTTGACAGCACACCATTTGCCAATTTAAGCAACAATCCAAAAATCACATATGAGTAGTTGAATAATAAAATTTTGCTTTATAATTGTGCATTATAAAACAAATTTCATTGAGAGCAGAAAGGTTATTAGTGAGCATATATTCGGTTACCCTTATTTTGTCTCATTTTGCTGGATTCTGGGCTACATTTGCAGTCTTTCTTAAGTAAGAAAGCTACAGTACTAATACTAATGGTCTCTGTGGCCAAATTCATGTCATGTTCATATTAGAACCTCCTGCACATAGGTTTAGGTTCAGAAGAAAATAAATTACGTGACCATAACCAGTGTGCTATATATAGCCCAGGTGGCCCTGGAGCTTGTGATCCTTTGGCCTCAGCCCACCTGAGCGCTTGGATTATAGATGTGTGCAGTACTGCCAAGCCCAGCTACATAACCAGGTTTTAAAGCATTCATACTTTCTAGCTTAATGCAGTATACACACCTGTAGTGCTAGTACCAGCTACTAGAGGCCAAGAGAGGAGGATTGCTTGAGCCCAGGAGTTAGTTGAAGACCAGCCTGGGTAAGGTAGTGAGAAACTCTTAAAAAAAAAATCACATTTTCCTATAGGTATTTTTTTAGAATTTCATGATCTAGTTGAGTTTGTCTAGAATTTTGGAAAAATAGAATAAATTTTAATGAGACAAAAATTAATACACTTAAACTTGAATATCAGTATCAGGTATATATATATTTACATATATATGTACATATATGTGAGATTATATGGGAGTAAGATACTATTTTTGGATTTGGGAACAGGGTTTCTCTGATATAAATGGAGATTTTCTCTTAGTACTTCCGTCAAGGTTTAGTTTGTATACTTGCATGTCTACTGCAATCACCACTACCACCACCACCAAAAAAGGATGACCTTTAGCAAATTGAAAAGTTCAAATGATATTGATAGGTCCTGTGATTAAATTGTGAGATGAAAGAAGTTAATATGAGCTACCAGATGTGTTATTCTCTTTATCTTTCAGGAGTGCATCAGTACATTGACATTAAACAACTATGGAAAGTATGTGGGAGGACAGTGCTTTACTTTTTTATACTCTATTGGCAGGACATGAAGTAAACTAATGAATAAATCAGTTACTCAGTCTTGAGATTTTTAGAGCCCTATATTCAATCATCATTAATCAGACAAATCCCAAGACATTCTGTGACAGTGTTCGTGTGTGTGGGTGTGTGTGTGTGTCACTGGGAATCAAAACCATGGCTTCACACCTGCTAGGGAAGCACGTTAACCACTTAGCTATATCTTCAGCCTCTGTTGTTTGCCTTTTGTACCATCTACAATTTTCCTGTGTAGGTACAGAACTGGAGATACAGAAGAGCTTTGGGTTGCAGGTAGGAAAACCATACGGAAGGAGTTTGGTTTAGGGATTTGTTGAAGAAAGTTGAGAATTGGCATTGAGGCTTTGGAGAAATTCCCAGACTGGAAATACAGATTTGGATCCAGGCATGGTAAGGCACACTTGTAATCCCTGCACTTTGGGAGTCTGAGGCAAGAGAATGGCAAGTTTGAGCCCAGCCTGGGCAATTTAGTGATTTAGCAAGACCTGTTTCAAAGTGAAGGGGGAGGGTATTAGAGATGAGAGGAGATTGTGAGGAAGAACTCAGAAGCCCAAATGGGAAAATTAGCCTTAGAGATGACACAAAACATTACTTCTGAAACAGTACCGGAGATAGAAAAGATGAATAATGATCTCGAGACAAAGAGAGGTACAAGGGAGGAGAATAGATACTTTATATTGAAACCTTGAGGGTTTGTTTGCATACTGGACTCTAGAGGAGGTCAGGGTGGCTACATGGAGATTCTGATAGGAAGTCAGTGATGAGTACAAGTTATGATTGGGTCGACCCTCTAAGAATGAATGTAAAGCATGGATTTGGAATGACTTTCATCAGCTTGACAGTTGTGACTTTATTAAAAAGTGCTCATTGGATAGATTCTCATCCCAAGAGGCAGTTTGTTAGGCCCAGTTGTAATAGAAAGGAGCTGCAAAGAAATATGTACATCATGTTCATGATTTTCTTAATTTTAACATTAAAGTAGCTACTTATCGAAATACTATGAAAGTCCTTAGGCTGTGTATTATTGCTGAAAAGTCTTGCAAGGAAATGTTTGCTTTAACTTTAAAGTTAAAATTTAGGCAATAAGCTTAGCTATTGAATTAAATACCATTTAAGTTGGGTTCTTGTTTTAAGGTTTTGGAGAGTTTACTTTAAGAGTAATATTACAATGATAGCTAGAATTTTAGTGTTAAGAGATGTTCCTCTTACTGGAATAAGATGAAAGGACTTGTAAATTTGTTTTGTAATTTTTTTTATTAGTACATGTTTGCAATACATAATGATTACATTAGGGCCGGGGATTTAGTTCAGTGGTTCTGGCGCCTGCCCTGCACGCATAAGGACCTGAGTTCAATCAGCGGTACCAAAAAAGAAAAAAAAAAAAACAAAAAAGTTCATAATGATTGCATTGCTTGTGGGGAGTTGGTACATGAACATAACACATCTTAAGTCTTCAGTGCTGAGCATGTACTGGATGCATATTCATTGACAGTTTGAAACTGTTAGGACAGTCTCAAAGAATTACCCTTACATTTTTCACTATAGAAAATAGAAGGTGTTAAAAAAAACTGTGCAGACAACGCAAGATTTTTTTTCCTAGAGGTAACAACTGTCAACACTTTGATGTTTCTTTAATGTTCTATGTAGAGAATACAGGTTGAATATCTCTTAACCTGAAATCTTTGCAACCAGAGTTGTTTCATAATGAAGATTTTTTAAAATTTTGGAATATTTGCATTTATATAATGAGATGTGTAGATACAAAATTCATTTATATTTTATATGTACCTTTATACACATAGTATGAAGATAATTTTGTATATTATTTTTAGCGTGCCTGTTTTTGACTGCAGCCCAACACATGAGGTCAGAGTGGAATTTTCCACTTGTGTCAAGTTGCCCTTCTTGATTTTGTAACAGTACAGTTTTTGGGTTTTGGGATTAGGGATACTCAACCTATATAATTTTTTAAAAATCAAGATATTTGTGATCTGCTTCTTTTCACTTAGCCTTGTTGAATGCTTTCCAATAGTCTAAATACTATTATTGAGGTATATTGTTTAATGATTCTCCATGATTGACAGTTCTTTATTTTCCTTTTTTTTTTGCTATTTATAAACATATTGTTTGGACATGTTTGTACTTAAATCTCTATTTCCAAATATGTATTCAGGGAAAGGAATAGATTTCTTAGAAATTTCTGAGTTCAAGGGAATGAACTTAATTTAAGCTCTTGGTATACAAATGCTAACAATTTCCTTTTCAGAAGGATTATGTCTATTTACACTCTCACTAGAATTGAATAAAAGTATTTTTGTTTTTATTCCTGCTATCTTAAAATAATAAAATTATATTTGCAAATTAGAAGTTACAAAACTTTAAAAATTCTTTTCATAAAAAGTATTGTTTTTCTATTTTGTAAATGATTTGCTTCAGCTGTGAGTTTAATTTATTTGCCACTAATAATAAAAGAGAAAAAGTAAAAGCTTCTGAAAACATCTAAAGCTTTCTTATATACTTATGAGTCTGAAAAACCGAGGAACATATGAACTTTACCCTAAAGTAAAGACATCAAACCAAGCAAATTCTTGACTCTTTGTCAGTGATCTAGTAGTGGTTAGATTACTAAATGTGACATAGTTTGATAAAAAGGAATGTCATTGTTTTCTCGTGGAGGCAATACATTTCCAATGAATATTTGCAAGCTGAAAAGAAATTCTAATTAAAAACAATTACCTAACAACTTCTCACACTCTCTTTGGCACATAGAAAATACTGATTAAATATTGCTGAATGAGTGAATGAATAAAGGGGGAAAAGTCAAGTGAAATTTGAAGACTCAAGAGAAAAAGTTTGTTCTGGTCATAGTGTAGTGTTTTACTGTGTTTGGAATAGAACTTATGGTTAGTGTTTAGAGCTTTTATTTTAAGACCTGGGCAGTTTGACTTATTCTGCTAGATTTATCCTTTGAAAAAGGATACTCTCTGCCTTCCAAGCATGCGATGAAACTAAGTAATATTAAAAGTATGCTAGAATTCTTAGATGAATTTTAGATTTATAAAAATTTATTAACATCTGCTTTTTATTTATTGAACTGTAGAATAGTTCAGCGCATGCGTTTTAGTGCTTTAAAATGCTGCCCTGCAACTCAGAGGAAAAGATACCACAAAAATTTTCAAGTTGCCAAAATGTTGTAAGTTATTAACATCTCAGTGTAAGATTACCACAAAAAGGGAAGAAGTTTAAAAACTACATAATTCAAGAAAACTTGGATTTAATGAAGGATGAGGGACAACCTGGTAATAGGATGTATTTATTTTAGTAGCTTGTAAATTGCATGTCCTGTAGACATGTACTAATAAAAAAATGAAAATAGAAACTAACAAAAAAGATATGAAATCATTACCTTCAGGATTAATTCCCTACGCTATAGGCAGAGCAGTGAAAAATTACGTCATTACTAGTATAAAACTAGTGGAAACTTACAAAAGAAAATAGATTGATAGATTTCAAGATCAAAAATAAAACCCCCAAATATTTGGAAACAAATACTACAAAATGTTAATAGGCTTAATGCCTGAACTCATAAAAAATAAAACATTAACACATACAAGAGCAACATAACAAAAATAGCCACTATGTATATTAAAATTTGATCTTGCTAATACTCACAAAAGTAAAAATTTATATAAAACATTTCTGTTCTAGGAAATAGGTTAGATATTTTTTTAAATTAAAAGTTCAGTACTATTAAGGTGGTGAGATGAATCTCGTTATTGATTTGTGGTACTGAAGATTAAACCTAGAGCCTTATACTTGCAGCCTGAGATGAATATTTTTATACAGTTTTAGAATATATTTGACTAAAGCTGTGTAAGTGGTGCACATTTGTAACCCTGACACTTAAGGGGCTGAGGCCAGAGAATGGCAAGTTTGGCCCATGCTGGCAATTTAGTGACACCTTGTCTCAAAAGAGAAAACAGGCTGAAGATGTAGCTCAGCAGCTACACCACGCCTGCCTGGCAAGCTCAAGGTCCTGAATTCGATCCCCGGTCCGGGGTAGGGGTTGGGGGTGAGGATGCAGCTCCGTGTGAAGGTTTTCAAGGTCAATCCTTAATATTACACACAGACACACACACACACACACACACACACAAATGACAAAATGAAAAACAGGAAGTATCTGACTAAATGTATGAAGACCCTTGGACGTTTTCATATTTTTTGACTTAGTACTTAACAGTCTATCCTTTAAAAATTTGTATAAATATAAACAAAAATATCATCTCAGTATTATATGTAATAAAAATGGAAACATCTGTCGTTGGCGGGAAAGTTAGATATGTTGTGAAATATTCAACAGATAGAATGTTATACAAGTATTAAAATGTTTTCTAAGTAATATACAGGTTGAGAATCCCAAATCCAAAAGTCTAAAATCTGAAAGTTTCTGAATGCCAACTTGATACCACAAGTGAACAATTCCATTTTGACATTATTTTATGGGTTGTAGTCAGAATTCATGTGCACTAAAAATATATAAAATTACCCTCAGGTTTTTGTGTATAAAGTGTGTATGAAATATACATGAATTTCAATTTTGACTTGGGTCTAATCCTAAAGATACCTCATGTATTTGCAAGTATTCCAAAATTTTAAAAATCTTAATTTTGAAATACTTTTTATCCCCAACATTCCAGATGAGGGATATTCAACTATACCTAAGAAAATGTTAATTACATAATGTTACATAAAAAACAGGATACTAAAATAGATATATACAAAATGATTGCCTATTCTATTAAAATATATATGCCCATGGGAAAAAATGGACCAAAATATTATGGGTTAGTTATTGCTGAATAATAGAATTATTGGTCATTTTAATCTTTACGCCTTTCTCATTCTAGCATTTCTTCAGTGAATGCATATAACAGTATATAAAAGTTATTTAAATATATAAACTACTTCTTGAACTTGTACCTGTGTACTTTGATGGTGCTTTTTTTTCTTCCCTGAAATGTCTTCTCTCATCCTTTCAATTTAATAACAGGTGCCATGCATTGAGTACTTTTTATATGTGCTAAGCTCTCGGTATGTATATAATCTTCGCAATAACTCCATTTTAAAGATGGGAACATAGGCTTGAAGAGGTCAGGATTTGCTTAAGATCAAATAACTAGCAAATGACAGAGCAAGAATTTGAACTTGGTCTGGCACCAGAACTTACTCAACCACTATGCTATGTATTTTGTTTATGTATGGAAGTTCTACTCTGTTTCTAATTTAAATGTATTTTTCTTTTAAAACTATAAGAGGTTTGAGACTGCTATGGTAGTAAAAAGGATAGTGTAATGAACCCTGTATACCCATCCCCCAGCTTCAGGTATTTACGTATGTCGTCGTGCTTTATACCCCTAACCCATTCCCCAACCCCTTCCTTATTATTTTGAGGCAGATCCCAGGCATTACATTTTATTCATTAATATTTTAATATAGTCCTCTTAAATATAGTAATGGCTTTTTAAAAATAATCACATTATCATCACACCTGAAATACGTTTTGCATAAATGTTGTAAATGTGTCCTATTAATATCTTCGCATTGTGTGAATTCTGTAGTTCATGTTGTGATGTCTTTTGCGTTCTGTTTTTGAAGGTGGAACCTAACTTCTTGTGGAACAAGTGTTGCCAGCTCAGAGTGCAGTGAGGAACTATTTTCATCAGTTTCTGTTGGAGATCAAGATGATTGCTATTCTCTGTTGGACGATCAAGAATTCACTTCTTTTGATTTATTCCCTGAGGGCAGTGTCTGCAGTGATGTCTCTTCTTCTATCAGTACTTACTGGGATTGGTCAGATAGCGAGTTTGAGTGGCAGGTAGGTTTTTTTCTTTTATTGACATCGTTAGTATATAAGTTGAAGTATGAATTTCTCCTTTGATATTTCATTTCTATATCAAAGTTTCTCTGGTATCTCCAGATGTGGAGATTCTTTGACAGTATGTCTTAGTGTTAATAATTAGATGAAATGTGTATTAGCAGAGTACACCTTTTAGGGTTTTGGTGCTACAGATAGCCTTTTGTAGGTTTTCTTCTACAAAATAATCAGTACTTTTCTATGCATGTGTCTAAGCATATTTATTCACCCTACTTCATAATAAATAGCCTTCACGTCTTTAATAGGCCACATATCTGGATCATGTTACATGTATAATACCATAAACTACTATTACCATGAATATGCAACTTTTGGTTTTGTTAACAGAATTGCGATAGTGTCTTATTTTGTATTCTCTTTGCATATAGACATATTTTTGCCTGATATTACTTTTCTTTTCATGGGATATATACCTTGTAAAATGGCTCTATGTCAAACTGTTGGAAAATGCTGCATTACAGTGAGTGTTATCAGAAAATGTAAATCATGTTATTGCAACATCCAGTTTCTGGTTGTAAAAGACAGTAATATTTGCGGAAGTTTTCCTTGTATACAGCAAATGTTTTATTCAAACAGCTAAACTTTAATACCTACTGTGTTTGAAAGCCATCAAAATACTTGAAGTTGTACTAAAAAAGAATAAAAATTTAGTTTCATTTTTTATTAAAATATCAAGAAATTTCTTTTTTTTTTTTCTTTTCTGTACCAGGGATTGAACTCGGGACCTTGTGCTTATGAGGCAGGCGCGATGCCACCGAGCTAAATCCCCAGCCCCTAAAAAATTTCATTTTTATTAACGTACCTGTACTGAATAGCATGAAATTGAAACTGAAGTCTCCAAAACCACTCTATGTGATTACCGCTGTTAAGAGTTTATACAGATACTGTATAAATAAATAAATAGGATCATATATATATATATAAATAATATATAAATAGGATCATACTTCATCCACTGGTCTTGTACTTTTGTTTCAACTAATACATGTCCGTTTTTATAGTTGCATCATAATTTAATTAGTGTCCTAGTAATGGGGTTTTATGTTGGTTTCAGATGTTTGTTATAAACATTGCTACAGTGAAAATGAATAGTCTTTAAAAAGAAAAAATATCACAGCCCCTCTTCTTATGTTGTGTACTATTTCAAGTTCTATGTTTTATATATAGCTATAAATATATTTTGTTTTTTTTTTGTTTTGTTTTGTTTTGTTTTTTTGGTACCAGGGATCGAACTTGGGTCCTTGTACTTGCAAGGCATGCGGTGGAACCACTGAGCTAAATCCCCGGCCCTTATAGTTATAAATATGATTTGGATAAAATTTTATAATTTTTGAGGTAAAATTTACCATTTTAATCATTATAGAATTTATAAATCAGAGATTTTTATGATAGTAATATTGTTGTGTAAACTCCATCACTAATTGTAGGATATTTATTTCACTTCCAAAAGAACCCCATACTTGTAAACATGTAGTCACTTTTTCCTTCTTCCCCTGTCACCTGGAAACAACCAGTTTGGCTTATCTGACTTTGCATAATATTTTTAAGGTTTATCTATGTTGTTGCATGTAATAGTTCTTCATTTCTTTCTGTGGCTAATTTAATGTTCCACTATGTGAATAATACTACTTTTTTTTTTTTTTAGTTTTTTGAGACACGGTCTCACTATGTAGTTGAGACTGACCTGGAACTCACTATGTAGCCCAGGCTGGTCTCAAACTCACAGCAATCCTCCTGCCTCAGCCTCCCGAGTCCTGGGATTAAAGGTGTGTGCCACCATACCCGGCTCTACTTTTGTTTAATCTACTTGTGAGCTGGTGGACATTTATGTAATTTTTACTTTTTTTTAAAGGAAGTATTTATTGAAGGAAAGGTAACTTCTAAGAGAGACAGAAGGGGGCTCAGAAAGTGGGCTGCCCTTTTTGTTTTGGAAGTATTTATTGAGAGATAATTTCTGTCTAAGAGAGACTATTTTCAACAATTTTGCTTTGATATTCAGATATGAATTTTCATGTGGATGCATATTTTTAATTGTTTTGGACATATCCCAGGAGTAGAATCGTAGGTCATATGATAGCTCTTGTGTTTTAATTTTTTGAGGACCTGCCAGTGTGTTTTCTAGTGGGGCTGCACCATTTTATGTTTTTACCAGCAGTGTATAAAAGTTTATTTCTCTTTATCCTTGCCTACATTTTATGGTTGTAGCTATGCTGCTGGGTATAAAGTGGTATCTCTGTCACTGTAATTATGCTTTGCAGTTCTTTTCTGACTAATGGTATTGAATATCTTTTTATGTCCTTATTAGAAATTTGTATATTTTAATTGGCTAAGCTGCTATTTAAATCCCTTGCCCATTTGTACTTGTGTTCTTTTTTGGGAGGTGGGGTGGGTACCGGGCTTGGAATTCAGGACCTTGTGCTTGTGAGGCAGGTGGTGGCACCACTGAGCTAAATCCCCAGCCCAGTGTTCTTTTTAATTGTAAGCAATCTTTCTATGTTCTGTCTGCTAAGCCCTTTTGAGATACATGATTTACAAAAACCATTTTCCCATCCCGTGGGTTATCTTTTCACTTGAAAGATTTTAATATGGAAATGCTTTTCATTTTGAGAAGTCCAATTTATCTTTTTCTTTGTTGTGTTTATGATGTCATAATTTAAAAAGCATTGTTTAATCCAAGATCATGAAGATTTTCACCTATTTCCTTCTCAAGAGTTTTTAGTTCTCATATTTAGGTCTTTGGTGCGTTTTGAGTTACTTTTTGTTTACAATGTGAGATGGGGGGCCAAATTTGTTTCTTTGCATGTAGATTTCCAGTTATTGAAGCAGCATTTATTGAAAGACTGTTTTTTCCTCATTGAATAGTGATGGCACCTTGTTGAATATGGTTTTATTTTTGAACTCTCAGTTCTCTCCCTTAATATGTGTATTTTTCCTTATGCCAGTATAACACTTTTAATTATAGTTTTACATTAAACTGTGAAATTGGAAAGTATGAGTTATCCCACTTTGTTTTTCTTTATAAAGATTTTTTAGCTTTTTTTTGAAGGGGTTCTCTTGCAATTCCATATGAATTTTAGATCAGATTGTACATTTCTGCAAAAAAGGCATTTAGAATTTTGTTTGGAATTGCATTGAATCTATGTATTGCTTTGGGGAATATGCCATTTTAATAATACTGAATACTCTGCATATGAGATGGAAAGGGTTTATTTATGTATCTTTAATTTACTTCTGTGATATTTTGCATTTTTCGGTGTCAGAGGCTTGTACTTTGCTTGGTTAAATTTATTCCTGAATATTTTATTCTTTATAATGCTGTAGTAAATGGTATGATTTTTAAATTTCATTTTTAGATTGCTTATTGCTAGTACCTATATAAAAATACATCGTATTTTTATCCTGCATCTTTGCTTTATTTTATTACCTTTTAATAGTTCTTTCCCTGGTTAGTTTCTTTAGGATTTTCTATATTTAAGATCATGTCATCTGTGAAGAAAGATAATTTTCATTTTTTTTAGCCAATGTGGTTGCCTTTCATTTTTGATTACACTGGCAAGATCATAGAAATGGTAAAAATGGGTAAATTTGTATCTTTCTCTTAGTCTTAGGGGAGAATGTTCAGTCTTATGCCATTGAGTATGTTAACTGTAGATATTTCAATAAGTACCCTATATGGTGCGGAGGAGCTTTCCTTCTATTTCTAGTTTGTTCAGTGTTTTATTATCAAGAAAGTGTATAGTGCTTTGCCATGTGCTTTTTCTGCACCTTTTGAGGTAATATACTGTAGGTAGCTTTCTTTGCTTCATTCTATCAAAAGAACTGAATGAATTTCTATCTACTACTAGAATTAGGGGTGTTACAGTGATTATTTTCATATATTTAACCACCTTTATATTCCTGGAATAAGTCCTAACTGGCCATGGTATTTAATTCTTTTTTTATGCTTCTGTTTTATAGAATTTTGCTGAGGAATTTCGCATCTATATTTATAAGGGATATTGGTCTCTGGTTTTCTTGTGTCTTTGTCTGGTTTTGGTATTAGGGTAATAATGGCCTCATAGAATTAGGAAGTATTCCTTTTGTAGATAATATTTTGTAATAAAAAACTTATAATCTGCATAATATATTTTAATGATTGTGTAATATTCCTGCTGTTGGAGGAGCCATAACTTGTGAAAATATTTTCTTATTTACATCTATTTCAAGCTTTTTCTATTCTAGATAATGACTGATTATTTTTATATGGGTTACCATTTGTTCTTTAGTACCTAATTTTTCTAAGTGTGCATGTTTAAACCAGACTACAGGAATTCTTTATAAAGTGTAATCAGTCTTGATAATTCTGAGAAATATTTTTGGTGTATTTTATATGATTTATTTAGAGTTCTTATCTATATTGATCCATGGTGGCAGGCTTTTTAGCTTTTTAAGTGCTGACTTCTTCACTTATTCCATGAGTTGCTAGCCCCGAAAATCTCACCCAACCACTCACAATTAATGTGTATAAGGCGACTTCAACATTGGAACAATGGTCTGTCTTAGTAATGTATTTCCCACTTATCAAATTGGAGTATGGATACTCTGTTACCATGGATACTTACCTTCTAAATATACGGAAAGTTTAAAAATTCTCTCTTGGCTTTGTGGGACCTTTCAGTAGTTACCCAAGAAAAAAATTAGAAATTAAGTTAGGATTAATATAGAGTAAATATCACTCACTATAGTTAAAAATATTTCTGTCATGTATTTTGTGATTAAAAACTTCATCTGTTTAAATTTTTAATACATGCTTCAGTTACTACTAGAGTAAATATAAATGTTTCATAGACTCTCTAGGAAGAACAATACTAATAAGGTGTGATTTTTTGGTACTGGGGATTGAACTCTGGTCTTGCGCTTGCAAGGCAGGCCACCGAACTGCTGAGCTAAATCCCCGGCCC